TGGAATACCCGGATTTGCGAGGATGTTGGCCAGAATGTATGCCCGGGTGTTTTATTGGCCAGAATATATGCACGGATGTTTAATTGGCCAGAATGTATGGCCGGATGTTTAATTGGCCAGAATGTATGCACGGATGTTTAATTGGCCAGAATGTATGGCCGGATGTTTAATTGGCCAGAATGTATGCACGGATGTTTAATTGGCCAGAATGTATGGCCGGATGTTTAATTGGCCAGAATGTATGCCCGCATTTTTTATTAATATTCTTAACTTAATGAGACTGTGGCCAGACCTTACGCCCGGATTTTTAATTAATAGAATTCCGCCATTAAATCACAAACCCTATTGTCAATTGTAATATTGTTAGTCTACTCCACACCTCCATCTCAATGATGCCTTACACTGGATGGTTAATCTACTCCACACCCCCATCTCAATGATGCCTTACACTTGATGGTTAGTCTACTCCACACCCCCATCTCAATGATGCCTTACACTGGATGGTTAGTCTACTCCACACCCCCATCTCAATGATGCCTTACACTGGATGGTTAGTCTACTCCACACCCCCATCTCAATGATGCCTTACACTTGATGGTAAGTCTACTCCACACCCCCATCTCAATCATGCCTTACACTGGATGGTTAGTCTACTCCACACCCCAACTCTATGATGCTTTACACCGGATGGTTAGTCTACTCCACACTCCCCAACTCTATGATACCTTACACCGGATGGTTAGTCTACTCCACACTCCCCAACTCAACGATGCCTTACACTGGATGGTTAGTCTGCTCCACACTCCCCAACTCTATGATACCTTACACTGGATGGTTAGTCTACTCCACACTCCCCAACTCTATGATGCCTTACACTGGATGGTTAGTCTACTCCACACTCCCCAACTCAATGATGCCTTACACCGGATGGTTAGTCTACTCCACACTCCCCAACTCTATGATGCCTTACACTGGATGGTTAGTCTACTCCACACTCCCCAACTCTATGATGCCTTACACCGGATGGTTAGTCTACTCCACACTCCCCAACTCTATGATGCCTTACACTGGATGGTTAGTCTACTCCACACTCCCCAACTCTATGATGCCTTACCACGGATGGTTAGTCTACTCCACACTCCCCAACTCTATGATGCCTTACACCGGATGGTTAGTCTACTCCACACTCGCCAACTCAACGACGCCTTACACCGGATGGTTAGTCTACGCCACACTCCCCAACTCTATGATGCCTTACACCAGATGGTTAGTATACTCCACACTCCCCAACTCTATGATGCCTTACACCGGATGGTTAGTCTACTCCACACTCCCCAACTCTATGATGCCTTACACCGGATGGTTAGTCTACGCCACACTCCTCATTTCAATGATTCCTTACACTGGATGGTTAGTCTACTCCACACTCCCCAACTCTATAATGCCTTACACCGGATGGTTAGTCTACTCCACACTCCCCAACTCTATAATGCCTTACATCGGATGGTTAGTCTACTCCCCACTTCTCATCTCAATGATTCCTTACACTGGATGGTTAGTCTTACACCGGATGTAGGAGATACGATCAGAACTGTGACTCCCCAGCCTAGTCCATAATAATCCTTTCGTGACCAGAAATTCCGTCAAGTTACCAATAATTTTAAATAACTTTAAGGCAGAAAATCTAAGGACAAAGGGGAGGGGGGCCCTAAGACCGCTTACCTCACCTGTGAAGGTCAAGACAACCGGAGTGGGCAGCAGCCCTCCTCCCCCCCCCTCCCCGCCAACCTTAGTCCCCCCTCTCTCTCACGCCGCGAGCCCGTCTTTGTCTCAGCTTGTGTACGCTGTGTTAGTCACCCGTACGCGGTACGTCTCAGCGGAAATTTTCCTGAGCCTTACCAAATTTGCCGACTCGACGCTTTTCTACCTGATCATAAAGTAGCCACTAGACCAAGAAAAGGGGGGTGGGGGTGGGGGTGTTGTTTGAAAAAAAGAGTGGGGAGGGGGAGGAATATGGCTACCCTAGATAATAATGCAATGGTCAGTAAGATTGCACAACTAGGCCACGGTGTGCCCGCTGACCGTTGGACGTTCAGTCAGAGGACGATCATTGTGATGTTGGCTGGCCAAGTAGGTGGATGTCTTAGATTTTCCTAGTCCGACCTCGGCTATCTAAGAATGGACATTAAACCCAAGTGGAGCGGTTGTACGAGGGCCCATGGCCACCTTTGTAAGACACGATTACAGGACGGCTTAGTAAGTATGAATGACTTAGATTCAAGTTTACATAGGACATAAGACCGCCGCGTCAGCCCAGTGACGACCGTAGTGTTGCTGTGCACTTACGTCGTGGCACGTCAACGATTGATGAGGTGAGGTTACAGTGCAGATTCCATCGTGTATGTTGCAAGTACTAAGTACTATAGAATGAGGAGGGGACATATGATATTTACCTGAACTGTAATTTATTTAAAGTTTGGAAATTTGGGTGAAATCAAGACCCCGGGTGGTGAGTGGTGAGGTCTGTCAGAAGTATTAGTAAGTCGCTGCTTAGTTTCAGAGAAATGAGACTGTCAATGACAGACATTTCCACTGTTGTGAAGTTTTGTAAAGTCTTTTAGATCTAGACATTAAATTATTTAAAGTGTCTAATTTGGCTAAAACTCTCCCCATCAACTTGATAAAGCAATTTTTGTTTTCTCTTTTACTTATTACTTATTGCCTTAGTTCTATAGCAGTGGTTCTTAACCTTTTTGGAGGTACCGAACCCCACCAGCCACCAGTTTCATATGCGCATTCACCGAACCCTTCTTAATAGGAAAAATGAAATATGATTTTTTTCCTGTTTTTTTTTTTTTTTATTACCTCCGCCGAACCCCTGAGACTGACTCACCGAACCCCTGGGGCTTGATCGAACCCAGGTTAAGAACCACTGTTCTATACAGTATGCATAATTTAGACATGGTAGACAATTCAATTTTTTTTTTTCCCATTTTTCTAAGTTGCCTACTTGTTTCTTTCTTTTTTTTTTTTTAATAATGAAATATGTCAACAGCTTTGTCTTATGACTTGCTGTTAAAGTCTGCTAAGAAGCTAAAAAGTTTCCATAAGACATAGTAGGCCTACATAGTAGTAACGACCAACATGTATTAGTATTAGGGACATTTACCCACAAAGTACGGGGGTCACTCGAACTCGAGGTAGGGAGCCTCTTATAATAATAAAAATCAACCTAAACTATTCAGATATCACTCATAGTAGTGAATTAGTAATATATGGTGTGTTAAAGAATAGTAATATGCAGGGGCGTTATTTCAGTGGGTTTTTTTTCCAGGCCTAGGGGGAGGGGGGGTGGGTGGGTGCTAATCCTAGTATCAAACAGCTGATTAGACTATCCTAAAACTATTAATATAGTGACATACTCGATAGCCTACCCCGCTCTTGAATAGGTGGTATTATTCAAGTTAAAGCCCTTTGCTTTAGAATTAAACCATATGGATTACGTATATATATATATTTTTAATTTAAAAAAATTGGGATTTTAGTAAGATTGCAAGCAGCGTTTCCCAAATGTTAAGTTTGGCGGACCCGTGGGTAAGTTTCCCAAATGTTAAGTTTGGCGGACCCGTGGGTAAGTTTCGTCAATGGACCAGCTTTTTCCAGGGACCGGTGACAGATTTATTTATTATAATTATATTTTCTTAAACTGACCATAAATATTCCTATCGTGTGGACTGACAACGTAAAGCTCCCGGTCCGCGGACCACCATTTGGGGGAACGCTGACCTAGAGTCCTAACAGCGGTAAGTGACGCTGGAGGGCGGGCCAAGATTTTTGCCGCCCCTTAACCATTTCATCAGAAACACATCTGCTGTTGGTTGAAAGTGCATGACGTGTAAAAAAAAATAGTGTAGCCCCCGCTTCCTACCCCGCCACTGTCTATCACTTAGCAGCAGGTCTTGTTAATGTAAAGGAAGGTTTGGATTATTTCTGTTCTCAACCCTACAATAGTGTGTGTGGTTTTTATTATTTTTTTGTCTTCTTCTTTTTACCTTGTTAAGTAAGTGCACTTTTTTTTCTTCATCATATTGATTTACTAGCATATGACATACATGAAACGACATGTAATAGAAATGAATTGGCGCATAGTATAGTATGGCCTGGTGTCAGTATGAAACTATGATTGACGTACTAAGTCTAAAACTTATTCTAGGTGTATACGAACATGAGCGAAAAATAAGCACGGGGAAACCTGAACAAAGGACGCGACAAAACAACTAACGTGTCGGCAGGAAGCCTTCTTCAGCGAACAAATAACATTAAAAACGAAATAATTTTTTTAAATAACACTTAGACTTAGCCACAACGTAGTATGCGATAGGAGGGAAGGTGGAATGTGATCGTTGGCATGCACATACCATAACTGAGTTATCTTTGTAGCTATTTCTTTTTAGTTGAGCGTATCATGAATAGCATACGTCCACTCATACTCATAGGGTGTTGGTTTCGCGTGTCATGTACATAAGTTTCATTTGAGAGAAAAATCTAATATATAGTTAGTACTGGCATTCCAGTACGATTCCGCATATTATATCATGGTTAATCGGGAAACTGGCTTAGTACAAAGCTGAATCTAAACTCTTTCAAATTTTAAATGCTATTTCAGCAAATGCATATCCATTACTTCTTATACTTATGAGTCTTATGATTTGTAGGTAAGTTTTTAAACTTACAAAACATTTTATGCCCGGGCTACCAATGATTACATAATTAACATATTAATGTATATCGTAGTATAGTTTCATAATTAACGATTCACTACAAAACTATACAAATTAAAATAAATAAATTCATTCATGACACTTCTTTGTTACACATGTTAAAAAAAAATCGGTCACCTCTCACAGATAACGCAGAAAAACAAAATAATATTCTTTGGTAACTGCTGCTCGCTGGGAGCCGACATTCCCAAGGTCGCCCAATCGTCTCGCTCGGTTCGCGCACACCCCACATTTCAACCAATCGGCGTCGAAGGCTAAAGGTCATTGTTAGACCGAGTGCTGTTATGCATCCTGTGCAGCACGTAAGGAAATTAAAGGAAACCTGATTGAGTAAGAAAGCGGTTGTGTCACAGTGTTTACTTCAATATGATCGCCAGTTTATATGTGATTATAGCATATTCATATTAGCAGTAATTTTATAAAGCATCAGGCTGGATTCTACGCAACAGACACGTTCATTCTTGAGTAAAGTCGGACAAACTAGCCATCACTTTCTAAAGACAGAACTTGGTGACACCAGCCTGCAAGGAGTAAAAAATAATCATAAAGTTGCCTCTGGCAGTGCCGTTTGTAAATCAAGTTATCATTCGGGTTCTGATGCCCAGTTAACCAATTCGCTTTCGACGTTGTGCAGCTCACCCACGTCAAATTTATCTGGATTAAATTCGGCAATGCGGGATTTGAAAGTTTCACATTCACCGGTCGACAATAAGGCATTTCACTGCCCTAAGGCTGTGGCACTTCCACATTACGAATATTGTCATTGGGACTTTTCGCCCGAAGAGTGGGATAGTGACATTTGTGAGAATGATTATGTATTAAATGATGTTTACGTGCAAACCGATAACCACCCGGAGAAATTTTCACACCATAAAAATGAGGTAACCATCATCAGTCTTTACTTTACAGGCCTAGCCCCAGTGGCGTAGCGAGGGTGTTTGGCGCCCGGGGACAAGATTCGCGCCCGGGGACAAGATCCAATTTTAGCGCCCCTTTTTCTTTTTTTCAACTCGTAAACCCGTTATTTTCATAAATAAAATAATATCAAAGCACATTTTGGCGCCCCTAACCAGCTGGCGCCCGGGGACATCTGCCCCCCTGCCCCCACCACGCTACGCCTCTGCCTAGCCCTAAAGACTATAGAACTATAGCCTTTTTGAGACTAAGTTAAGTAATGTAGGGGAAATAGATTAATTTAGACTTATATTTTAAATTAAATTAGTAATATCTCTTTTTCTGTGTTAGTATTATATGACTGTGACATAAAGTAAAGCCTAAACATCTTTCTACATTTATTTTGAGCTTCAATACTTTTCCCCAGAAGTATTAGAACGGCTTGAATAAATTTCTGATAAAGCAATTAAAGGAACTGTTTTATGTGTGCGTGTGTAAATATATACACACACATATATGGCTATATAACTATATATGGCTATATATATGTATAATATATATATTTAAACTTTTTATTTGCATCATCTTCATATTTACGACGTTTAAACAAATTGGTAATACCGGTTTAGTTTTTGAGTTAATGTAGAATTGAGATGATGGTAACTGTATTTGAAACTATAATGTAGGGTGTAGACTATTTAATTAACCAAAGTATTTTTATTACATTTGTTATTGTTTAACGTGGTTAAAGTCATATTAAGTATTACAGTATAGTATAGTCTTTATTTTCTCGTTTATAGGCAGAAATGAGTAAAATGAGGTAGTCCTACTGCTTTTTATCCATCTAAAAGATTTTTAGAACACTGTAGTTCAAAAACGACTGTTCACGTCTCGGGTTGATAAATAATTGATCTGAACATTCATTCATTAGGTCAGTGCTAGTGCTATCTGTTAGAGTTGTTATTTTTTTTGGGTATGTTTAAAAAAAAAACTCATAACCCAGCAAAGTTATTGTGTATGTCATATTTTGGAACGGTATTTTAACCCCCCCCCCCCCATAATAAATGAATTATTATTCAGTATGACTAGAATGAGTACGGTCGGCCTTCATCATCTATACTAAATAAATACCTACGCCTACGAATAACGATATTGTGGATAGTCTTAAGTTCTTGTGTTACCTACCGCGGACCGGTATTCTCAAAAAACTTTGTTGTTCTGCTTATTTTGATTAATATAACAATTTATCAAAGTAATAATATTTTTTAATGGCCTAGGCCTAGGGCCCACTCGATCCGATATTTGTTGGAACCAAAGTGAGAGGAGAAAAAAAAATGTATCCGTCCTGTCAAGGTAGCCAGATCTGTGGAAATTTCCTCTGGTTTGTTAACATCCAAGCTCTGCTATTTCTTTACACATTTATTTACCATTATCTGTACAACACATCAGCCTTAACAGGGTTATGTTACGAGTATTCAAATAAATGTTGACAATAATTATTTACACAAAGATACTGTACAATATCCTATTAATAACGATAATTAGAGCAAAACGAATGGATTTTTTCCCCCGCCTCACGTCAGCTGGTGACGGCATAGGTCAAGGTTACTTTCTTTCTCACCAGCTGTGCTGATAGGTTTGGTTTAGCAGAGGATGCGCGCGCATGTCTCATTGGGTATTCATAGGTGAGAGGGCAGCCTCAGTCAGCTGTTTGCAACAAAGATCGGTTCATCGGTTTGCTAGCTTCATTCTCCCCTCTCTCTCTGGATTTAGTTGCTTCTCACCAACGAAAAACAGTATTCTTTCATTGTATTAATGTCTGACTATGAACAATTTTCAAAAATGGTGATTACTTTGGATATTTTAAATGTTAATGAAAAATCATTCGTGAGTATTATTTGTTGTTTATAAAAAAAAGTATATATATTGTATATACTATAATGAAATGATAATGCTCGCAAATCTAGGTCTGAGTCTGGCCCTTGGCACACCTACTTCTACGTCTAGAGCCGTTCTAGTTCTAATCCTGCGCCCTCGCCTCGCCTTACTTATGCTTATCCCTGGGCCTGGACCAAAATATATTTACTTTCGACTTTACTTTAAATCATGTCTCGGAATCATCGATATATACAATATTATTAATTATTGATCAATCTGATCTGGTATTTTACGTATACTTATACTATTTAATAAGTAATAAGTATAACTTATACTTATTAAATATTAAATTAATTTGATGATTTAAAAACACATCACCGTGTTTTTATTGTTTGATTTTGTGCTGGTGTCGCTAATTTAAACTTTACCAAATTACTGAGTCTACTTGTTATTTGCATACAACTGAAAGAAGTTACAGACACCATTGGCATGCTTACCTTTGAACAAACAAGTAATACAATATAATTATAGCATGCAAATTATACTTTTCAGACTTTTCTATGATATAAGTATAAGTAAGTTTTAATTGTAAGCATTTAAAAATGTTTTGACTTGAGTAAACATTTAATATAGTGTAGGCGTCATAATTCATAGTCATAGGTATAGGCCTAAAACTAAAGTAAAAAATAATAGTAATATGTAAAGTGTATGTTACATTGCAACTACAAAGTGTAACAAAGCAACAATCATTCATTACATGATATTTTTACCAACAAATTTTGATCATCTTATATCACACTGGCCACTCATTAAATATAGTATAAGTATAATAATTTTTTTTCTTTCAGTTTTTAATTTTAAGCTGGTCTTGTATTTGTTACGTAACAGGCCATTTTAATAACTAGCCCTTTTTAAATTATTGCTGGTTCACTGGTATCTAAAACTGGCTCAACTACAGACTACAGGACATTTGTCAAATATTTTGTATCAATTGAATCATGAACTATATAATATTACTGGGTACAACATTCTTATACATTTTTTTCTCTTGTATTCACAGATTATTCCAGCTCATACCACAGATGAACAGGTAATTTTGTTTAATTTATAAACTCTAAATTATTTCTACCAGTTTTTAAAATTAATATTGCCAAAAAAATAATTATGTTAACATATGTTATATATGTCCAAAAAAAATTCTAATTCTGTGAACCAAGAGTGGGCTGTATTATCTACACTTCAGCTATGACTTTCAAACACTTAGACCTTAGGTTTATGGTGTTCCTCAGAGCTAAAATTCAGTATACAACTTAGTTTAATGGTGATTTTAATATATTAATACTTAGCAACTTTTGTGTTTTACCTATTATTTAAAATTAAATTATCTGTATTTTAATTTTTAATAGCAAGAAAATGTATTGGTACATGCTACCATAACTTATAACTTCCCTTTAGACTTGAGAGAAGTTTATTTAATCTAAGCACAATGCCATATCAGTTTTTAAAACCTTAACTTGGTCTTGTCACTGTATTAAGGATGTATCAGAATAGCTTGAACTTTTAGTTTCGAGATTTAAAAGAATTCAAATCAAATGACCATAAATTTAAAATATTATTTTTCCATTTACATAAAATATTTAACAAAAATTATGCCATGGTGTTTTTCGTTAATTAGCTAATTACCACACTACAAAGTTGTCCAGGCAAATGTAGCAAGATCAGCTACATATCGAGTTAAAAATTGAACTCAAAATTAATCAAAGTGAATTGAAAAATTCTTTATCGGCCTTTGAACTGCTACATTTATTCAATTACATGCCTACAGAATGAACTTTATATGGTATGAAGTACAGGAAAGTTTAATTTGAAAATGTTGATAACGGTTAAATATTATGGCATGTTATTTTTCATTTATTTCATAGTACTGTACTGTATGGCCTCGGTTTATTTTGACATGGTGATAGCACATTGAACTTGCTGTAGGCCAACTAGTTTTATAAATATTATAAACATTTACCTGGCTGTTACAGGATTATTTTATAGCAGCTTATTGCTTATTACATACTCATAAATGTAAAGTAAACTGGCTTTAAATAGTTTTAGAGAGAATAATCATGATTTCAGTATACGATATATATTAAATAATATCAGCCAAATGAAAAATTCAAATAATTTTATGTAATAAATTTCCAAATTAAACAACTTTTATTGCCCCATGTGTTAACACAACCGTAGTATAATCTAAGACCGAAGAGTTTACTACTGGCAAAGTGGATTATAAAGATGGTGTTCATTTATCCCTTTACAACACTACTTGCTCTCAAGTTAATAATTAATCATATAGTTAGGTTCATTGTGGAATTAAATTTGGCAAAAAAGGCAATTATATGGCACAAAAAGAATCCTAAACTTAATTTTTTTGCCCATTGGCTTAGCACATTTTAAAAGTTTTTTAAAGACAGTAGCTATTTATGATAATTTAAGCATTTAAGTGATATCTTGTGGTTGGCCACTCACCAATAGGACCTGATTACGCAATATCGAGGTTAACTTCTATATCATTTTATGCACCGAATCTGCAATTGGTCAGTGTGAAGAGTTTTTTGTTTTTACCAAGTAAATTACGGTCATTATCTTAATTTGAACAGGAAAAGAATCATTAACCACTTATCAAATTTTCAGTGTTATCACTTTCAAGGATCATTGCTTAAATTTTACTTCTTCAAAATCTCTTTCTTAGTTCTTAGGTTTCTAGTTTCTAGCTAATCACTTATTTCACTTGTTAATTAAAACTGTCCTTTTCCATGTCATGTTAATGTTATAAAGGGTGCAAAGTCTTATAGTCCCTTAAAAAGACAGATTTCTTATTACTATAGATCTAGTTATTAAATTTGATAAATTTTCAATAATAAATAAGCCATAAAAATTACATTAGCATGATTTAAAGTTGTTTTGAAATTGGTATTATATATTAACATTTCATTCAGAAGAGCTTGATAGTAGATTCCATTAAAATTGATTTGTTTGGGAGGGGTGGTTTGAGATTTTGACTGTCCAGAGGCTCGAGGGATCATGTCTTAACGTGGTTGCACGGTTCTCGTTTTGAATATAATATATATAAATATAATTTTTAACATATGTGAGTGTGAGTGAATGTGATTAAATTATCAGTGCAAAAAAGCTGTGTTTTTTTTCTCCAACTTCATACCTCGGCTCGAACCTGACATGGTTTAATATGGTCTACCTACCGATACATTATACATAAATAAATATTATTTATTTTTAATTCATAACATTAAAATTAAGTTTCGTTATTTTTTAAAAGCGATTTCAATGAGATCATATAATTATAAGGAGGTTGTCGATTGATTCACACGGCCACGTTGCATAAAATTAATAAATAATGAGTAAAACTAAAGCATACTTTTAGTCTTACTCTTCTTACTTCTTACTAATAATTTTATTATAGGAACTTTCTTTGACATACTTTTTTATTTTTTTAATAATTATTGAATGAATTATTGTCTGATTTACAATAAAAGACATAATTTTAAAGTTACAGTTAAGGCTAAGGCTAAGGGGGCAGGGGTAGCGACTATACTAACTATAAAATAAACTATAAGTATAAGCGTTAGTAGAATTAGATCTAGCCTTGAATCTTAGCCTTAATTATTCGTTTTCTATTTCAAATTGGATTAAAAAGTGTAAGGGGCGAAGGTGATGCAATCTCACTTTTTAACCAACCAATCCGTATCAACACCGGGTGCCGGTTCACGCCACAACTGTATGTGAATGGCTCGTGCATGTCAAGCACGCACCAATCATCTTCCGGGTCACGTCAAAATAATTTCCTACTAGCAACGTCTGATGCAAGATCGCGGTAACCAGTCGCTGGTGTATAAATATGGGCTGTTGTTGAGTGGGTTCTTCACTATCTCTTCTGCAAATACACAAATTACACCGTTTTCACGATTTTATCTTTTTCTTAAAAGATGATGAAAATATCAACCTATCGTCTCGTTATCAGTGCTGCCGAAATCCAGGACCGTGTTCTTGCTCCACAATTACTGTCATTATCTTTGCTGCCGGCACTTTCATTACGACCGTCGAGGATACCGTTGAACTCGTAGAACGGCGAAAATGTCGCTGTAGCTCGTCTCTTCTATTTATCATGGGGACTTGAGCGTATTATAAATTTTAGATTTCCGTTTGTATCAGTTTAGTGGTTTTCAGTTAGTGTATGAATAGCTTGGTTGTATTTTTTTCTTTGGATCCAGCGTTGTCACTCATACTCACACTCATCACTATTCAGTAGCCTACAAAAATACTTACCAGTTTTAGTTTTAGTAACAGTGTCTTTAACTTTAGTGGTCGTTTTTAGTATGATAATAGTATAATCGTTGCGTGTGAACAGTAAATTGTCTGCTCGAAGTATATTTATATAATAACGCAGCACAGTCAATTATCAACCAATTCGTTATATAGTATTGGCATTAATCATTAATAAGTTTAAGCGTAATATAACTACACGCCAGCAACTAAAACTATAAAATAAAAAAATGGGGCGTCTTATGACTCATTTTTTTACAAGTCACATTTGGACTGAGTTTACTTCAGAGGTAAGTTACCATAATCATAATTGAACACTATTTTATTTAGCAATACTTACTTATACTTAGCCCTGAAACATCACTATTTAATTTGGTTAAAAATAATAATGCTTAGGCCTAAATCAATCAAGTTATAAGCTTATTTATTAGTACAGGCCTGCACAACTTACGCGCATGGGCGGGCCGCAAAGTAACAAAATGTCCTTTATTATTGTTATTTTCTTAATAGCTTTCAACCCTGTCCTATTATCTTTTGGCCCCCACAAGTTTTTCATAATGTGTTACTGTTACTTTGCAGGACTAATAATTATTACATTAAAATTTTTAGTGTAGCTAACTAATTATCGTTCTGACATTCGAACGAAAGAATGTGCTATAGACTCCCATATCTGTTTGTGACTGATATAAATGTAAGAATGAGGTAAAAAATATAAATTATATGCATAAGTATATGAACATGGATATTCTGCACATGGTGATTAGGGAACACATTTTTATAAGGAATACAATGAAAATATGATGATCCTAAAACGCATTTTACACATTAGAAGTTCATTTAGTAGAGGGGGTGACATATCCCATTGTGTTAAATTAATAAATAATAAGAGATCTGGACTGTGTAACTGTAAAGCTCAAGTTATTTTCTTTATTTTGAAACAAGGAGAGCTGGCACACACATTGAATTGGTGTCTCAAAAGTATGAGAAGTTTATTGATATTGTTAATGTCAGCACGAAAGTATAAATTATAAAGGGAATTTTATCCACATTGTAATGATTGTTGGATGGAGTAGTGGTGGTGGGGATGTGATATCAGTTATTCAAATACCCATAACACTCTCACTTGTCAGGATGGATTTTTGCAATAACAAAAGTTCAAAAGAACTATAAAATCCCTTCACCTTATGTTATACAGCCTTAAGTTTAAGTAGGGTCCCTAGCGACAGCATGTTTAACAAATAACCGCGTCACGAAAATGCATAATTTGTGTGAATGAGTTTGTGTGTGTGTAAGTATTTTCCTATTAAACTTACACACTTGAATACTAGATTTTTGTCACGTTGCTAATAATTTAGAGTTATTGTAAGGACGGGGTCTAAAATTAGTGCGTCCCCAACGAAATCAAAGATCGGAAGAAACTAATATTAATATTAATATGTTTCAACAGAATCTGCTGTACCGGTTCTATAATTCTACTGTAGGGCGCTTCTAGGCTTTGGCTGTAATGGAAGTAAAATGTTGCCAAACTAGTCTTCCCATGCTGTGGGAAACTTAAAGTTCTGTCCAGCCTGACCCATTCCCCCCCTTTTTTTTTAAATGTAAAAAAAAAAATAAAAAAATAGTGAAAATTATGACCTTGACATCCAGGTTAACTTTTCACCCCTAGCCGGTTGCATACTTTCTAAAAATAAATGAACGCCTGTTTCGTCATGGATATTCTGGTCCTGCTCTCTTAGTCAGTTGTCTAAATTTTCAGGTCAACATTGCGATGTCAACACATGATTTTAAAAAAAAAATTTAATGACTAATTCTTGTCCTACTTCAAGTTGTTAAAAATGTTTTATAAAAATAAATTGGTTATTGAAAAAAAAAAAAAACCACATACTGGATATAATTTCTAATTTTCTTATCATTTATCGTGTACTAAGAGTACTAAATTTTTTGTGTAATTATTATTTTATCTTTTCAAGTATTTATGTCATCCACATTGCTAGTCATTTTTTGTTGTTGCTGAAAAGTGTGTTGGGGGGGGGTGGTCAATTTATGATGCAGCTACACTTGTTAATTTTTTTCATTAATTTAATGAAAAAGAGATTTTACAGCACATTAATCATTAATATTACAAAATTTACTTTAATTTAAGCACTTTATCAGTGATTTAATAAGCCGGCATTTTATGCCTTCATATTAAAAGGTTTAACATATTTCAAAGACAGGCTTGTGTCATCTATTGACTAAATGATATTGTGAATTTGTCTTTACTTAGTAACATGTTGGACTTTCCTGTACATTTTAAAATTAGACATAAATTCCAGGTCAGGCTTATTATTTAAATAAATCAAGATGATTAGCACACCTTGATTACCATTTTTATCTTTTTTCTATTTATACTGTGCATGTAAGGCAAAGCTGTTTGGGTTTATTGACTGAAATAAAAGTATGCAGCCAAGGGCTGACATTTTTATGATGTGAATAGTGTATGGCTATTGGATGCTTTATAGGAAAGGCATCTGCTGGCCAAATAAGTTGTTGGTTATCACTAGATGTTCAATGTATTTGATCTTGTTAAAAGTACTTGATGGATTTTTTTTGTCATTGCAATAAGTGTTAGGGTTGCAGTGATTAATAAACTAGAAATGCTGCTTTGAAGGATAGGTAAGAGTCATTGATATAACTCAGTCTTCAAGATGGGGTTATACTGCTGCAGTACTACTGGACTTCAGAATGATCTTAACTAACTCTACCGACTTGTGCTTGGCCATGTTAGAAATAATTTTCAAAAAGTCTTTTTTTTTGCATTTCTTTTCAGACCCATAGTGTTTTCATGGATGCTTTCATGCAAAACAATAGATTAGATCATATAAGCCAGGTGATGGGATACCACCCAGATTATCTGAGGAATTTTTTAACTACCCAGAACTACCTACTCAGTGAAGATGGTCCGTTGCCATATGATTACAGGCATTACATTGCAATCATAGTAAGTAACTACAATTTTAAAGTGTTGATGGCATTGCTAGGTTTTAGTTTGCTAATATGTCCAGCGATGCCTATCTATGTTCAAGGCAAAAAAAAAAAAAGCTAATCATGCCTAAGTAGTGCACTTTTTGAAAGGCTTTCCAACATAAAACTATCTTGACTTTATAATTATTTAGGCTATCTTTATTTTGGTACATGCATTTAATAATTCAGTCATTATTCATTACATTTTCATTGTTTTATTGGGAAATGTGACATTTCAAAACCCTAATAGCCTAATTTTAAAAATTCCAGATCCACCTTTTACTCTTCAGAATTCATTTATTTGATAGTTGTTGGGTGAGGGTTTAAATGACTCACCAAAAATTTATCTTAACAGTGTGATAATTTTCAGAGATTATTTGTGTCTTGCTTACTAACCTGCCTTTAAAAATGTTACTGCCTATTGATGGCCTATCTTACCAAGTGATAGCATGGGATGAATTTTTTAAAATGCTGAGTTCTGTAAAAATTCACTGGGGTTCTTTAAACACATGATTTTAATTGTTCAGACGACAACAGTTGACTTCAAAGCTTTAAAAAATGTATTCCAGCTCACACAGAACTTTTTACAAGGGAAACCATTTTAAAAAAAAAAATCATTTTCCTTACTTCTTAAGCCATAGCATATTTTCTGACATTAAATCTGGTTTCAAAGATAATGTCTCTCCTGTGCATGACAGGTGAGGTGAAGGGCACAGTTAATCAGATAGAGCAAAGGCAGATGGGGTTGCTTAGCTTTAACACATGATAATTATGTGAAGTGGCAAGCCATTCACCTGGATTTGCTCCAGTTTTTTAACAAAGATAATGGGATATGGCCTTGGTTTCAGTGGAAAGATTATTGTAAACTGGGGGAGGTGGGGGGAGGGTAAAACTCTTCAGTGTGTAGAAGGCTAAGTTTGGTGTCTGTGAACTTACCCCTAATTAAAAACACTTATTAAAATTAATTATTATACCTGTCCCCAATATATTTTCATACAGCAAACTTAAACATGGTTTATTTCAAGTAGAACCTGCATGGTTTTAAAAGATCTTTACTTTATTGTCAAGCTGTCGTCAATCAGAAGGAAATTGAATTTACAAATTATCACTAGAGAAATTTTAACCCTGAAGCTAAATTATCTTACATGATCATGTGATGCTCTCAATTAATTGTGAGAGATAAACCTTTTTTTAAAAAAAAATCTAGTTAAGTCTGTTTATCATTGTGCCCTTCTGCCTTCTTTTATATACAAAATATCTTAATTTTTGCCAACTTTCACCACTATATTTGATCTTGTCCGCTTGTGGTTATTATTAATTCCTCTGAAAATGTTACAAGCTTTGTGATACTTTTTTTTTCAGGCTGCAGCTCGACACAATTGTACATATCTGGTCAAATTACATGAACAAGACTTTCTCTGTCACAATGGCAACCCAGAGTGGTTGAAAGGTATAAGTCACGCCCCTCGCAAAATTCAGGACCTCTATGAGATCAACAAAATTTTGGCACACCGCCCATGGCTTATAACAAAGGAACACATGGCGGTAAGCACTGATTTGAAAATTTTTCAGGACGTGTCTTTTTTTGGGTTATTTAATAATAAAAAATTGTCTTTTTTCCTTCGTTAATAATTATTAAATTATTTTTGTTGCTTCATTTAGCTTAAGATGATATGCAAATGTAATATTGAATATTAACCTTTTTCTTTTTCATTTTGTTATAGAAGCTTTTAAAGAGTCCAGAACCCTGGTCACTGTCAGAGCTGATGCACGCTATTATACTGTTGACCCACTTTCACTCATTGTGTTCATTTGTGTATGGGTGTGGAATCACTGCTGAGCTGGACATTGATGGTTTCACCTACAGTCGGTCTAGGAGCTCTGGAAGTGACTCAGATTCTAGCAGTGACACCAACAGTGAAACTGGGGAGACCCTTAACTATACTCACCTACAAGTAAGCAGTTTTACAAATAGTACAATTGACTTGATTTTTCTTACTGGTGAATTTTCTCTAAAATCAATACTGTAGTTTTCTTATCATTAAAAATTCTTCAAGTAAATTAACATGAAGCGCTGTCTCTTTATCTCAATTTTTCATTATATAAAGACTTAAGCTTAAAGGGTTTTATTTACCTTAACTTAACAGTTATTAAAATTAGTGCCTGCAAAATAAAATATTTTGCTAAAAATTATTCGCACTTGTTTCATACGAGTCAGTTAGGAAAGTAAACAAATTTGCAAAAAGAAGGTTTACTAAATTGTATCTTTTTTCTTGGGTTAGCTTTGTGATTGACATTAAAATTGCAATGCATAAATCATTTCCAGAGTAATATTATATTTATTTTTCTTCATAGGCATTAAAAGATGAGACCGGAATAGGTCTGGAGGCTCTGATGGAGAAAATGAGGAAACTGAATGAAAATTCTTCAGAAGAAACCACCCCAGAGGAGTTACTCAAGCGCTTCCAGTCTGTTGAACACCAAAGTGCTGAAAGTAAGTCCCCTGGTTACAGCTGGGCATATAAATACCATCTGTTTTCATCTTGCCACTTGTCATTTGTATTTGAGAAAACAGTAGTTAAATCTTTCAATTTACAGAAACAAAAATGCCTAATTATCTAAATTCATTTGTCTCTTTTAATCAGGGTGATATTTCATTTTCAAGTTATTTTTTGTTGTTGTAAAATATGTATATAAGCACCCAAAATAAATTAAATATGTTCACTCCCACACACACACTTGGAATTAAAACTTGAGTTCCATATCAATTGGCTTTTTCAATATTGGTCAATAACTTAATCTTCATGTATATATATTTTTGTATTTTAGTCACTGTCCCATCCACCAAGAAATCCTTTACCAAATCTGATATTCTGCGCTATGTGGTGGATGAAGAGTTTTCCTATACAGACTTTGTCACCCAAGATAAAGTGAGTGAAGTCCCCACCTTCAGGGCTTGTGACTACTCGTGGGATGACCATGGCTTCTCTCTTGCCAACAGATTGTACTCAGACATTGGCAACTTGTTGGATGAGAAGTACTCAATGGCAGCCAATCTAACCTACTACACGTAAGCACTGAGAAGTTCAAACTGCTTTTGCTAGTGCAATTTATCTTAATGAAATTATTTATGAAAAAATTTATTTTTTAGCTCTGAAATTTATTATAATTTTGTTACATTATCTGCACAATGCCAGATGTGAAAATTGTTTGATCTCCTCGTTTTCAGAATGGGTGATAACCGGGAGGTAGATACTTCTTCTTTTCGTAGAGCCATCTGGAACTACATCCACTGCATGTATGGGATACGTCATGATGACTATGACTATTCAGAGGTAAAAAAAAATAAGCGCATGATTCTGTTGTTTCTCTTCTTCCTAAAGTTCAGTGCCATAATAAACACAGTGTAATTTGACCAATCAAATACAGCCTTTTTAAATTAATGCCTTAATTATTGTGTGGTCCTAAGCTTGATTTACATTGAATTATCGTTAGTTATACACTTTCCTATTCCTTATCTCAGGTGAACCAACTTTTGGAGAGAAATCTGAAAGCATATATAAAGACACTGACTTGTTACCCAGAGCGCCTGCAGAAAAAGGACTACGATGGAGTCATGAGAGAGTTCAAACATTCTGAAAAAGTAAGGACTTTTTTTTTTTGTTGAAATTTTCAAATCTTTTATTGTTTCATTGATAAACCACAATGACATAAAATTTGGTTCTTGGACTATTTTCTTTCAATAATTTGTGCAACATCTACACATTGTCACTTCATTTCCTACAGGTCCATGTTAACCTCATGTTGATGGAGGCCCGCCAGCAAGCTGAATTGCTGTACGCACTACGTGCACTAAACAGGTACATGACATAAGTGGACTCGGCCTCCTCAAGTTGGAAATTTTTGTGTCCCCCTTGCCGGCTGTGTGCCCGTTGACCCAGACCTGAAACAAAATTGGGTTTTCACCATGGAGAGCTGCTGAAATAACAAGGAAAGAAATTGGACCTTGTTCATTGGATTTATGATGATGGCAAGTTGTTTAAAGACTTCTGTCTGAAATGATGCTTTTAAAACAACATAAAAATTGCTGCTATTCATCACCCCCCCTCCTCCTCCAGTTGGTACATTGCAATGAAATGGCATTTATTTCAAATGGCAACTGTTGTATTTTGTAACTATCTCTGTAAAGTCTGTGAACATTTGAGCCGTGTAACAATCATGAAGATGGATCATTTTTTTAACCAAATAAAAGATGTTGAAAATATGAGCTCTTTAAAAAGTTCTTTGGCTCTAACTATTTATATAAGGATTTCTCATTTAGGGGCAAATCATTTAGATCATAATTAAGTTTTTCTTCTGTTCAATGTCACCAAAGTTTTTAATGCAGGTTGTCCAGATTTGTACATGTGGTTAAATTTTTTTTTAAATAGTAAAAGAAAATTTATTGATGAAACTTTTGACAAGACTGCCTTCTTGGAGTTTGATTGTGTTACTGATGTGCTCATTTAAAATAATTTTTAAAAAATAGGAGGTGTTGTTATTGACATGTCAAACACTGCAAAACCAAATAAGGCATATAAATCAGAACTAATATAATATTTGCATTAGATTTATTTTTGACAAACATTTTTGACATTCTCTGAGCCTCTCATGTTAGTTAATATCATGTTCACATAAATATTCACTATGACAGATTATCCTGCCATATATTGCTGCTGTACTGGGATAAACAATTTATTTGAAAGTGGATTTGGCGGGGGGGGGGAGGGGGAGAGATGATAGGAAGGCAGTTGATTCTTTTGGTTTATTGAAGGCATTTCGGCCAAGGTGGCTTCATGTTAGTTAATATCATGTTCACATAAATATTCACTATGACAGATTATCCTGCCATATATTGCTGCTGTACTGGGATAAACAATTTATTTGAAAGTGGATTTGGCGGGGGGGGGGGAGGGGGAGAGATGATAGGAAGGCAGTTGATTCTTTTGTTTTATTGAAGGCATTTCGGCCAAGGTGGCAATGGGATATTAACGTATATGCTTGACACATTGGCTCGTCTGTGCCTTCATTAAATACCTTATGATCCAAGCAATGTTGTCGATACTAACAAGAAGTCCAGTGGTTTGTTTGACCAGAAACTATTCCGTCTGTTTGGGGGACTGATCATATCTGTACACACATCTTTCTTTATATTAAAGAAGGAAAAGAAATTGGTTATTCCTTGACACTAAAGATATTAACTTTTTGAGAAAAAAATTTTTTTTACATACCTATAATTTTAACACTAAAAATGTGAAGGATGTGTGTGTGTGAGAGAGAATTAAACAAAGGAGAGTTCAACTTCATTTACCCAAAGAACAAGATAGTTTGTAAATATGCAAGAGAACATTTCAACCAACTCAAGTGGACTGACTATACACAACACTGGATGTCTTTCTGTGCAATGCCAACCATTAATTTAATATTTTTTAAAACAATGTTTTATGTCAAAGAAATGACAGTTTGCTTGGATCGGCATTCTGCTCTGAATTTAATAGTGCTGATGGGGGGGGGGGGGTGTTATATATTGATACCCTCATTTGTCTTGTGCTTTGACCTTTTTTTTTTTGTGGGTGAGTTACGACCTGATTAAAATTAAGAAAACAAAGTAAAACATTTTCCAACTCATGAAATGCTAAATAACAATGACTATTCTAAAGGGTAGATGTACAACTAGTCTCCATGCATTATACGGTACCTGTACCAAAAAGGAAATAAATGATCAATTCAAATCTTAAAAACTTGGGCACACGCCTTTATTTATTCAAAAGTTATTGTACTTTATACTTCATTTATAATTTGTTGGGCTTTTTTTTACTTGCAAGTGTCGAGCACTTAACTAATTTGTGTTGAGTTAAACATTAACCCTTGAAAAGTGCCTCTCAGTTATCTGATTATGATCGAACAAAGTCACCACTCACGGCAGTGTTGTTTACGGCAATCCAAGTTTACAAAATTTAATTTTATTTATAAGACTCAACAACCAACTTCTGGTGTCTTCACAATACAAAATTGGAACTGAGATTGGGTGTTCAAGTACATCGACTGATGTTTTAAAAGTATACAAGTATATATAAAATTAAATCTTTTTTTTTTTTTTTAAAGGCATTAAATAAATGTTAAGTGAAATGAAAATCCTTTTGAGGTGATAGATGTAAATTTAGGTATGGAGGGAATGGGAACTATTTCTTTTTTGACCGTAAATTGGAACTGAGATTGGGTGTTCAAGTACATCGACTGATGTTTTAAAAGTATACAAGTATATATAAAATTAAATCTTTTTTTTTTTTTTTTAAAGGCATTAAATAAATGTTAAGTGAAATGAAAATCCTTTTGAGGTGATAGATGTAAATTTCGGTATGGAGGGAATGGGAACTATTTCTTTCTTGACCGCAGGAGGAAGAGAGTTGATTTGAGCGAAGGGACAAAAAGGCGTGCACCCCCCAAAGTCTTTCAAATGAATGCAGTGGTGCTTTGAACCATTTGGTCTGCCTCTATCTGGCCAATATCATTGTGCTCTGATTGACACAAGCAATGTTGGGATTTTTTCATTATGTCAGAATGAATGTTTCAGTATGCTAATTAATAATGAAGCTTTTAATAAATTCTCCTCTGTAGATCAATAGTTTGTTTGCCCTATTCATTTGTATAAAATATGAACCTGCTAACTTTTTTTTTTACGTTTGCCTTTTCAAATGAGGTTTTGATTTTTGATGTATCAAAATGTTCTGAAAGTGGTCATTATTTGAAAAAATCTCAAAATCGTGTTTAAAAAATATATTTAAAAAAAAAAAAATTACAATGACAATAAATTTTAAACCAAAGATATTTAAAAAAAACACAAAAAAACAGTTGTTTCTGCTTGATATGTAGCAGGTCCATCTGTTGTAGTGTATTTGTATTGATGCTTGTATCACCATAGCAATTGGTTGGTGGTATCTGATCTCTGTTCAAGTAACTCTGTTTGTTGCTGCCACCTCATTATGCAAAACTTGGTTGAATTCCTCAAGAGTTGGGGCAGCAGCTTTTGAGGAGGGAATATTTAGTAGTCAAACAAATGCACGCTACTTAATCTTTTGTCATGTCATGTATCCCTTCTTTCCCAACCCCCCCCCCCCTCTTTTTTTTTCCATCACTGCACATTGTGCTTATGGTGTAGTGTAAATTAGGGGGGCAAGGGGGGAGGGTGTTGGCTTTCTTGTTTTTTTGCTGTTAGGCATTTCATCATTTGTCAGCCACCAGCTTAACAGCCTAGACAGTTTTAGTTCTATCAGAACATTTGCCTGAAACACCACTCCACCCTCGATCTTCTGTCCTGCTGGTAAGGGTTGATCACCTTCAGCCCTGTTATTATAATTCTTGTGTGATCTCATCGTGTCTATGACATCTCTTGTTCTTCCAGACATTCAGTTTGAAGGCTAATTAAACTCGGAAAAGTAGAATGTTCTAAAAAATTCCTAGTCCTAAATTTACATGACTATATTCGTGTGTGTGTGTGGATTTTTAATCAGAACTGCATGAGGAAGTGGGTAAAAAAAAATAGTTTTTTTTTTTTGTGTAGAGTCTTATACTTGTATTATTATTGTATATCATCACTGTAGTTTTAAAAAAAAGTGAAGTCAGGTTTTTCTACATTTTACAGTAAACTCTTACAAACCTGACAACTTTGAAATGAACTTTATTGCATAGATTATGTGACAGAAAAAGTACTCCATACTCTTTGCAATTTTGAAAAAAAAAATTATTTAGGACATGAAAAGTCATGTGATCTTGAAAAATCGGAATTTGGAATTAGGAGGGTTACATCTGCACTATTAGAGTTGCAACGACCAAATTAATTGATATTGATAGACCCAGAATGGCTTTTTTTTTACAGCTTAATACTAAAACAAATGTAATAAATATTATAGTTGTAACACTATGGGGCTGCTTTATTAACGATGAGGATTATTTTATCACCATAACTAGTTGGAATAGAAAAACAGCCCTTTTTTTATATGTAAATTTTCTGTATGTAATGTTATATTTTTGCTTTGAACCATTAGACAATCAGAGTGACATGTGAAAGAGGATGTGTTATGGTGCCTTACTGAGACACCTTTAGTGATTCACATTATTGAAACACCGTTAGGTTTAGATGGTCCTGTTATCGAAACACCATTAGCTGGTCACATGACTGGAAAAAACATTAGTAGGTCACATTATTGAAACACCTTTTGGATTTAGTAGGTCACATTATTGAAACGGGTTCAGTTGGTTACTCCTCTAACCTCCATCATATCTAGTCAGAATTTAATTGGATCCATATTCACCAACATTGCATTTAGTGAGTTGGATTGCTCCATGCCTACTCCATGCTTAGTTCTGATGTGCGAATGACCATCTTGAGAGTATTGGCTTACCACTGGCTGATGGTACAGTGCTGGCCACCATTGGCTGATGGTACCGTGCTGGCCACCACTGGCTGATGGTACCGTGCTGGCCACCACTGGCTGATGGTACTGTGCTGGCCACCATTGGCTGATGGTAGCGTGCTGACACAGTATTATTTCTATTAAATTGTTGTGGCTGATTATATTATTTGTTTTTGTCATAATACATTAAAATGAGAGTGGATAACTGTTGTACATTTCATATTTTATACATTGTCTTTGTTTTCCCTACACTTTCTTACACATGTGACACAGGTCGCTTTCAATGAAGTTATTAAAATATGCTAAACAATAAAAAAAAAAATTATAAAAAAATGAAATTGCTTTGTTCTGTATTTGTATGAATTGTGTGACATCAGTATAAAAGTATATACAATTTAGTGTAAATGTGTCAACAGATATCAGTATTAGTGTACTGGTACAATTTAGTGTAAATGTCTCAATTGGTATCAGTATTAGTGTACAAGTTAGTGTAAATGTGTCAACAGATATCAGTATTAGTGTACCTGTACAATTTAGTGTAAATGTGTCAACTGGTATAAGTATTAGTGTACAATTTAGTGTAAATGTGTTAACAGGTCTCAGTATAAGTGTACAAGTTAGTGTAAATGAGTCAACTGATATCAGTATTAGTGTACCGGTACAAGTTAGTGTAAATGTGTCAATTGATATCAGTATAAGTGTACAAGTTAGTGTAAATGTGTCAACTGATATCATATAAGTGTATAAGTTAGTTTAAATATTTCAACTGATATCAGAATAAGTGTACAAGTTTGTGTAAATGTGTCAATTGATATCAGTATACGTGTACAAGTTAGTGTAAATGTGTCAACTGATAACAGTATTAGTGTACCGGTACAAGTTTGTGTAAATTAATATCAGAATAAGTACAAGTTTGTGTTAATGTGTCAATTGATATTGGTATAAGAGTACAGATTAGTGTAAATGTGTCAACTGATGTCATTATAAGTGTACAAGTTAGTGAAAGTCTAGCTTACTTTTCTTAAACAAAGATTGTTTCAATTTCAGTTTTTTACTGGTATTCATAATCAAAACTGAAAACTCAACCAGTAAAGCGTGTCTTGTGTGTATCATTTACAATCAACCCTTTACAATCTAACCCTCCTTTACAATCAAACATTTACAATCAAACCTTCCTTTACAATTGAACCTTTACAATCAAACCTATACAATCAAACTTTCCTATACAATCAAACCTTCCTTTACAATCAAACCTTCCATCACAATCAAACCTTACTTTACAATCAAACCTTTACAATTAAACCCTAACAATCAAACCTTCACAATTAAACCTTTACAACCAAACCTTGACAATCAAACCTTTACAACCAAACCTTCACAATCAAACCTTTACAATCAAACCTATACAATCAAACTTTCCTATACAATCAAACCTTCCTTTACAATCAAACCTTCCATCACAATCAAACCTTACTTTACAATCAAACCTTTACAATTAAACCTTTACAATTAAACCCTAACAATCAAACCTTCACAATTAAACCTTTACAATTAAACCCTAACAATCAAACCTTCACAATTAAACCTTTACAACCAAACCTTGACAATCAAACCTTTACAACCAAACCTTCACAATCAAACCTTTACAATCAAACCGATCGTAAGTAACCAAGCGTCTTCTTCGGAGTCCAGAGAGGCCCAGATCTGAGAACTGTTGTCATAGATTTTTTTCCCCCTTAATAACATGATTACCTTTTCCCCAGCCACTTTATTTTGAGAGTCGTTTTTTTTACAAAAAATAAAGACGTACAATTTGATATCTGAATGAAGACACCATAGATCGACGAATATTATTACTTGGGTTCTTACTGTTGGCAATACTACTGAGTACTACTGACAATTTAATTGATTTCACCCGAGTAGATCTACTAACCCGGTAATCATTGAACAAAAAAACAAAATAAATTATATCGGCTGCCCGTGTATGCTCTGAAAAAATCTTTTGCTGGGTCCTCTTTAAATTGCGTTTTCCTACTGTTTGTATGTTCCTATCGTCATGCTAAGTAAACAAGTAATTGAGTTTATAGTCACATGCACAGTTCAAAATATCAGAGGTTTTAAGACCGATACATGTTAAAATATCTTTGACTAACAGTCTATGTACGTCATTTTTTTCAATAATGACAATAAAAATTAACATTTAATCCCTTGCCACCACTCACAGTAAATANAAACACCCATTAGGTAGTCACAGCGCCCCCTACATCTACTGAGCTTTTTACCAACCCTGGGCCATCCCACTCTGAGAACCACTGTTTTACCTAGAAATAGTTGTACCAATACTAAAACTGATACTTATCAAACAAATACCGGTACACACAATTTTTTTTTTTTTAAAATTGTACATTGGTAAATTCATAAATTTCTGTCCCTACCATATTCTTTAAAAAAATGCAAGCGTTACCACAAAGTATTCATAAATACACCATTACCCCCCCATACCCCCTCCCCCCCCCCCACCCCCTTTACACACACACTTGAAAAACTGCAAGCCCTGCAATAAAATATTCATAAATACACTATTCCCCACCCCCCACACACCCCTCCCCACACACTCCCACACATGCACTTTAAAGACAGCTTGGTATATAATACAGCAATAAGGGGGATTAAACAAGAAGGTAATGTGAGCCCGTGACTAAGATTCAAATCGAGTTTCAGACATTAGACGACACATATAGGCACGCCGTGTGACAGATTTTTATGGAAGATACACTTTATTCTCTCTACACTTGAATTTTTAAAAGGGCTTAAAAGATCTTTCTCAAAGATAGAAGTAAAAGTCATATTCAGAAAAAAAAAAAAAAAAAGTTTGTCTTTTAAGACGGCTTAAAAACCCATTTTGATCTGGGTCGCATGTCTTAGTGCCGGCGGTTTTCTGGGTCTAGTTCTTTCTTTCTACATCATTTCTAAAATTCAGTCAGTAGAAAGGTTGGTCAAAGCATTGAACTATTGATTAGAAATATCTCCAGAGCTGGTCAGCAAGAGTCCAAGAGAATGATCATCAATATAACAATGTTTGAACAAGGTTAGATGTGACTTGAGACGGGCCGAGAGGGATTTTTCTGATTTCGGCCGAAACGAAACCCAGAACGAAAGTTGAAAAAAAAAAAAAAATGACTTCGACCGAAACCAAAAACTAAATGAGACTTTCGGCCGAAACCGAAACTAAAAGCTCATCGAGACTTTCGGCCGAAACCGAAAGATTAAGATACTTCGAAACCCGTTCGCGCATGCGTTCTTCATCCATCGAAAAAATGATGGGGGGGGGGGGGGGAAAGTGTCGAGCTGTATATACTTTTGATTTTAAAAAAAAAGAAAAAAGAAATGAGGTTATCGTGAAGTTTAAACGTATTAATGAATACTTTGGCTTTTACCATTTGAATTAAAAAGAAATTTAAAGCTGTTAAAAAGCTATTTTAAATTTGACTTGGTGGGGGTGGTATTAAATTCATGCAAAATTAAGCTTGCCTTTACAATATAATTACAATACTCCCTACACATATTTAATGTGGTATCGATCGAAAGCTCAGCCTACGGTTTTTTTTATTGGTGTGGCCCACTATAATGTCCAGACCTAAGCCTTGAAGGAATTCTTTGTTCCGCTAAACCGTACATTTTCACTGAAACATGCCTCCTTACTGGTCGACAGGTCACATATTTCGTTTATCCGCAATCAATTGTTAGTTATCGGCTAATCGTATAGTTGACGACCCAGATTAAACAAAGGTTGAACGAATGTTCAGCTACGTTTAGTATGACAATGCAGTGAGTGGGCCTACTGCATAATTATTATATGAAACAGAGATACATGCACACGTTTGTCATTTCGCCATTAACACTGTTTATCAGCATGTCAATGATTTTCTATAAACAAATGAAGTGAATAAGGATAAGGTTCCTTAAGTTTGATTAAAAGGGGAAAAAAAGATACATAGAAATAATCATAAATGGAATTGTTGCCCTAGAATTTTTTTTTCAACAATACCATTCACATTTGCCCATGACAACATTTATGAGCATGATAATGATAAATCAAAAACCGAAACCGATGCCGAAATTCGGTTGGTCTCTAGATGTGACCTGTCGTCTCCAATGACCATAAACCATGTAGGAAATAAATGGGTCGAAAACGTTATTTGTCAATTACTTTCTAAATTAAAATCTCGCGTTTTAACGAAAATTTGGACGCGCCAACATTCCCCTCATAACTGTCTCCTCTAGGCCTAACTAAGCCGTTAAGGTCAGTGAATGCAGCCAACATTCCCCTCATAACTGTCTCCTCTAGGCCTAACTAAGCCGTTAAGGTCAGTGAATGCAGCCAACATTCCCCTCATAACTGTCTCCTCTAGGCCTAACTAAGCCGTTAAGGTCAGTGAATGCAGCCAACATTCCCCTCATAACTGTCTCCTCTAGGCCTAACTAAGCCGTTAAGGTCAGTGAATGCAGCCAACATTCCCCTCATAACTGTCTCCTCTAGGCCTAACTAAGCCGTTAAGGTCAGTGAATGCAGCCAACATTCCCCTCATAACTGTCTCCTCTAGGCCTAACTAAGCCGTTAAGGTCAGTGAATGCAGCCAACATTCCCCTCATAACTGTCTCCTCTAGGCCTAACTAAGCCGTTAAGGTCAGTGAATGCAGCCAANCCCCCCCCCCCCCCCCCCCCGACTAAAGCCTGTTTAGTTCAAGAGCTGAATATCTCAATACGATGATAGGTTTCTTCGTTATTTACGCTTCTATCTAAGTATCTTTCCGAATGCGATCTTTAATTATATATAATTTTTTTTTTCAGGGTGATGTGTTGGGTGATGTGTTGGGTGATGTGTTAGGTGATGTGTTGGGTGATTATGGGTGATGTTGGGTGATGTTGGGTGATTCTGGGTTGATATTGGAGTGATGCGTGGGTGATTTGTGGGTAATTTTGGGGTAACGTTGTGGTTATATGTGGGTTATGTGGGTGATGTGTGGATGATGTGTGGGTGATATGTGGGTGATGTGTGGGTGACTTTGGGGTGAGGGTTTTCCAAGAATTTTTCATGGGTATATTATCAACCTAAAGCAGTGTACAGGATTAACTTAAAATTTTCACGATATAACTTCATATAACCGACTTAGTTATTGCACGAAAGCAAAAAAAAAAAAAAAAAAAAAAAAAAAATTACCTGGGAACAATAGGAGCGGCCGGGAAAAAAAAAAAAAAAAAAAAAAAAAACTTAGTTAATGAACGAAAAAAAAAAAAAAAAAAAAAAAAAAAAAATTACCTTGGG